ACACAATCCTAAAATAAGAATAACCTTAATTTCATATAAAGAAGCATGCATATAGACTACATATAATGTATAGTTAAAATGGTTACCTTACCTTAAAGTATGGATAGAATCTGTTACTATTTAATATTTGTTGTGGCACCTCAACTCCATTAGGTTGTCGTAGAAATTGATCTTCTAAGGAAATAATCGCTCGTAACACCTTATGAAAATGTCTGCTTATTGTCTCTCCAGAACGGCAAAAGAAGAAAAACATGGTGTGATTTTTCACATTATGTGCTAATAGATATAGAAACTTAGCCACTTGCTCCTCTATTATGGAATTTTTATTATCCTTGAGGCGACCGGATTCCCAAAGTATATCACACAATGAAGCAAATGCAAATGGACTCATTCATATTACACCTCGACATTTCTCATTGGCACTAAGTTGTTCCATGAGTTCATTCCTTACATTTGCATTACGACTACTAATGTTTTTTAGGCTTTTATCAACATAATTGGAAGCATCATATAATTCCATTATATATATAGCTTCTACCACATAACAGCCATACGTCTTTGTCTTTCCTAACTACTCATAAACCTTGTAATATTTTGTTGATATGTTTGTATAAAATTCTCTTCCAAACTTTCCTCTTCAGCCATCTATTTAGCAAAATTTACTTTTAATAAAAAAAAGTGACTAATAATAATGCAAATTACATAATACATGAGCAGGATAAATAGCACAACACAATGTTCAAACACTTGTAGCATACCTAAGATAAATAATTGCACATAGACAGAATAAAAATAACACACACAAATAACGAAAATTAGAAAGTAAAATGAAACTAATTAAAAAACTTCATCATTGTTTTTTTTTTCATCTTTCTTTAAGTTAAAAAATTATCAAATCTTGGATAAATAAATATTTTAGAAGTATCTTACCGTTGCAATAAGAACTTTCCTTCAAGACTTCAGCAAGCTTCAAAGCAAACTCTAATGAACACAAAAATAAACCCACAATATAAAAAATTAATGGTAACTTTGGTCTAGAAATCAAGCTAAAATGGAAATTTTTAATTTACTTTTTTCAAATATTATTGTCGTTCTTTTTTATTATTTTAAGTAACATTGTTGTTGTATAGTTAAAAAAAAAGCTCCATCAGGAAATATTAATATGATTGTTCTGTGCAATAGCAAAACCAGAGAACTAAAAAATAGTATAAACTTGTTCAAATTCCATCAACTTTATATGAAAACATTAGCAACTCAACTAGGAGGAAACAACATTGAACGATTATTAACCATGGAGGGGGGAAAAGCCCCTATTATATTTGCAAATATTGACAGTTCATAACACCATTATATATGTCATTAGCAAATATTACTACAATAATAGAAAAAGAAGACAAAAAAGTCAAGCTGCAAAAAGATACCTTTGGATTTATCTTGGCCATTGATGGAGCTCTGGATATTGGAGTTTTCTTAAAGGCGGACTTCATACGGAAGAAAGAGAAGATCTGATATAGAAGATGGTTCTCAAAATATCTAGGAGTGTTTAAAAAATTCTTAAATTGACACACGTCAATTTGAAAATAATGGTCATTTTTTTCTTCAACCCTTTCCAATCCGCCCATTTTTGGAAGGATAAGAATTTGTGGGCCCTAAGGGATTAACAACCCCTTGCTCTTTCCCCTCCTCCCTTCTTTCCATCCTACCAAATAAGGTTAAATTTCACTTCTAGCTCTTAATCCTTTCCTCATACCAAACACATCCTAAACTTTGAAAATGTTGTTTTTTTTTAATATATTAGCACATATGACACACATCAAATTCGACAACTTCTTTAAATCTTTAACTAATCCGATTGAATTTGGAATCGTACTCTACTTTTTCCTCATGCTCATAGACATAAGGCTCTAGTGGAGGCTTAAGCTCACACTAAAAAATTTTTATTTTAAAAATTTTATGTATATATAAATGTGTATTATATTACATTCATATATGATTAGCCCTCAATTAAATTAATCTTATAGCTCTCATCAAAGATATCGCTTTTTATAAAAATCCGAATACACGTAAAAGATATAAACTCAGTCTTTAACGAACTTGGTAATGAAATTAATGTCATTTTAAAGACATGAAAATCTGTCCGGGACAATTATAATACATTAAGTATTTTTTATTAAATTTTATTATAATTATTAGCCCCCGCTAATAAAAATGGCTGCTCTGTCTCTGTCACTGCCCATGCTTTCTTGATTCTGAGTTATTTTAAAGAGAGAAGATATTTGAGGAGTAATGTCCAATTAATTTATTTGGAGTGAAAGACAGCATTAACTCTTACCTAGCCTAAAATCAAGCAGCAATTCGGCAATTCCAGTAAAAAAAAAAAAAAAAAGAACGTTTCCATGTTGAATCTATAAATTTGTTTAGAAGACAAAGCGCAATAAATACGTTTCAAAATTCAGAGACATGTTGATACTATTAAAATAGATTTGAGGAAATTTGTAAAATTTATCCCTTTTTTGTCTTTAAACCCAAGGCAACTAAATCAATTATTTCTAATTTGATTTAATTAGGTTTCTCGAAACCGGGAAAAAAGGAGTTTACTGAAAAAAAAAAATAATAAATAAATAAACGAAGGAAAAACCCACGTTTGCACTGACAAATCGGAACCAATACAAATTTTAAGAATAGATAACATTTTAATTGGTTCAATTATTGAAGGAAACAAAAGAAGCTCTGAATCTTAGTAGGGCAATTGAAAAAAAAAAAAAAAGACCATTCTTGTGTGTTTCCTTTGCAGCAGCCTCCCCCTCCCTTTGAGGCCGGAATCTGGCACTACCACAGGGTGGGTCACCGTGGTGGGTCACCGTGCTCCAGACAGAGGGGAGAGGGTGAGGCATGGTTTGTTGGTGCTCATGGAGGTGACTCTAAACGGAAGGCCGAACATGCGTTGTGTGGGTGGGGGAAAGTTGAGACTAGTGAAGAGTAGCGTCGACGAGATCCGTTCGAGGACGTCGTGGTTAGAGGTGGCTAGATCTAGATATGGTCAGATCTGTGCGGGGAGGTTGTGGTCGGAGGACGCTAAATTTGGGGGACCCGAGGCGTGGTCGAAGGAAGCCCACAGGAGTGTGATGGGTTCATTGTTGCGGGATGCCGGATTTGGTAAAGGATGGAGTCCTCGTCAGATTTTTGGATACGATGTTGATCGCTGAAGGAAAATGGTTGAACGGTGGCTGCAATAGGTGCCCTCTTTCTGTCGTGGTATTATCTCCATTTTTTCTTTATTATTTTTTGTTATAGTTTTAATAAAGACAGCGTGTGCTCGCCCTTACATTGTAATAACGGAGGTAGTTTCCCCACCTTTCGGCTTTGATTGTGTTCCCACCTTCGTAAGTTGTTTACGGACGGTGTAGGTTGTTTGGTCTGGCTAGAACTTCCTCTATGCAGTGTTGTTGATGTCCCCTTTACGTGGGGATTGATCCCGGTCGACTGGGTTAATCAATCGACTGTTTATGACTTTAAATGAGCTTTAGTCATACTCTATGTTTTTGTGCCGAGTAGGTCTTTCCGTATTAAGTCTCGGTACCTATTTTTGCCCTTGTGCTATGGTGTCTTCACTTGTGGATCCAATCTTTAGTTTGGGATGAATCTCTTCTGTAATTGAGACTACTCTTATTGTGTGTAATTGTTTATTTTGCAATGAAATGTTTTCATTTCAAAACAAAAATACATACTTTAAGAATGACAAGATGCCAAGACACTGGACAGTTACTTGACACATGAGAACATGACAGTTTAAATAGATTAGAAAGCACCCGTGAGAATTGTAAATCCATTATGGTAAGGGAAGAACTATTGGGAATAACGTGTTTAATAATGTGATATGATATGAAAATAGAAAGTGAAGCACAGAGCTTACACCGAAATTTGAGTATAGACATGGACCCTCCTGAAATGTTGAGCGCATCTTCTCATGTTCTCTAAAAATAAAATAGCGTGTTCACGTATAGTTTTCTTATAACAATTTTTAAAAAAGACTAAAAAAGTAAAAAAATCACAAACATTTCGTCAATCTTGATTTTTTCTCCCTAAAAACAAGTATTCATATGAAACAAACTTTAACAGTGTATATTACGAGAAAAGGATATGAATACCTACTTAGATTGTATGGATCATGATTTATACCTCTCTCTTAATTAATACCCTTTTCAATTAAATGCTATATTAGTCAAAAAGATATTTATCAAAAATAAGGGTAAAAATCTAAACTCGTGTACCTCTAAGGGTGAGTATGTAATTTTTTTTTATGTGTTGCACATAAATTATTTGCAGATTCTCCTTGGACTTCAACATAACATCATTTATGGCCTGATCCTAATCAAGATTCAAACCCGACCCCAACCCCAATTGAGGTCGACACTAGATTGAATCAACAGGTCAAGATTGGCGTCGGGATCCGATAGATGGGCCAAGATTGACAATGAGATAGGAGATCAAACCAACATACAAGATTTGGCACTAAGATCATACCAATGGCTTGAGTTCCTTTATAGGGACGGAATCGATGCGTCACAGTCCGCTCCAGGGGTCGGGTTCAACAATGGGGTCAGACACGCATACAAAGTCTGGCATCTGGTTTTAACTAACGCAGTGTGACCGGCTTTGATGGCCGAATAGACAAGTGGGTTTAGCAACAGGCCTGGACAGATGGACATGGTTCTCTGCCACTTAAAATTGATGGATCGGGCTCAAGCTGACTCATTACAATTTGTCTAGTAAGAGTGTTCACGAATTAAGAGCCAATAACATTCAAATCCTAAATGCTGAATCGCACACCTAACCATATGAGCTAGCCTTAAATAGCACATGTTTTGTAAAAGATTGTTTGCACTAATTATACATAACTTTTTAGGTGCTGCAAATAACCTAAACAGTCAAATCTATTTGCTTGGTATCCGAATTCCCAATATCTCACCCTTAAGGGTAAGTGACTTGCTTAAGGGAGTACCACAAGGAGCAGTAAAACAAAAAATTTTAATGCGAATTCGAGGTGAATGTGAACTAAAATTTTGAAGTAGATTAGAGTAACAAAATTGTACTGTCAAAATCAAACTCTAACTCCCTCCCCTAGAACAAACAAGAGCAAGTAAAAGCTATTCAAGTTCAAGAAAAAAGAACAAATGAAAAAGTGACTCTCAAATTGAAGAAATTTAACAAGGCCGTTGTTGAGAATATTCCATTCAAGCACCAATGACTTCAGTAGTCGCCTCTGCAATTGTCTCGTCAGCTGGTCTCTCCACCTTGGCGCCAATATCTTCTGAATAGTCACCGTGGACCTATAGACGGAACCAATACATAGCTTACAAAAAACCGAAAAAAAGAATGCAAGAAAGATGAAAATATAAATGAGATGTGAACGATGCAAGAAATATGAAAATATAAATGGCAATTCTCAAAAGTCTTGGGTCCATTAGTTTTCCACAATGGCTAAGTTAAAAAAAATGTTTAAAAGTTAAATCGAAAAACAAAACCAAAAACCATACAGGATTAATGAGATTCGGCTACCAGATTTCAACTCTATTTCCGAAGGCAAACTTGGATAAAAGCACACCACCTAGTAGTGCTTTATCCAAAGGTCCTCCGTCAGATTTCCTCAATAGCTTACTTACAAGTCCTCAATATAAAAATTAAAACACAGGATAAAGGAAACTTGCCTCCATTAACTTTCCAAGATCAAACTTTGGAGCTTTCAAGATCTTCACTTTTCTAATGAAGACATTCTGCAATGGGAAGATACTCTTAGTTGTCTTCTCAATCTCTTTGCCAATCATCTCAGGAATGAACTTCTGAACCAACTCCTTCAAATCGCACGATGTTGCCTGGTTCACCATGATCTCCCTCATCTTGCGACGGATCTGAGAAAATAAAATGCAAAATTTAGTCGTATATCGAATAAAAAATGAAAAAGCTCACAGAATACCAATAACAATATATTAGGTGCAACCTGGCTAATACCCTACTAAATTAAGTTAAACATAAGAAACCTTAATGACTAAGAACTCATTAAATCATCGTGTTACTCACTTTCCTTGCCATTCTTTACTACCCAAATCTTTTACCAACCAAACTACATACTCAGAACAAAATCATATTGCCTACTAAGTCATAGAGTAATCTAATTTCAAAGGTGTAGATATTATTAAGAACTCAATATATACCTGTCTAATCTGACTGGATTGCGCATAACAGGTCCTCTTGACCTGGTTTGGACGTCTCCTAGTGAAACCAATGCAGAACAGCCTAAGGGTGAAGTTATCAGTAGTCTTCACATCCACATGAGCTTCAATCAACGTTTGCCATTTCCTCACTAAAGATCTCAACTTGTCAGTTGTGAAATCCATTCCCTAAATTTATTCAGAACCAAAATGGACACCATTAGAAACAATACTGAGAAAACCACAGATAAACAGACAACGCTCTTTGGTTCTTCTAACATACCCAGAAATTTGTGAGAACATTCTTCCCTTGAACATCCTCAGATCTCAATCGGATCTTCCTGTAAGCGTGCTCCTCATCATCCTGAAGGTCGGCCAACGAGATCTCGAAGACTCTATGTTTGAGCCCTTCTGAAGCAATCTAGTCGCAACACGGAAAACAAATTGAATGCACTATATACACACACATACATATATATACATATACATATACAGTTGTACACATTTTCAGTTCCAAAACTAATAGATGATATTAAGAAAGCCATCAAACCAAACTTGAAAACATCCTAAAATTCTACTAAAATGGTCACAGAATCTAAAGACTAAATTCAATGCACTACTCACACATATATACATGTTTTTCCGTTCAAAATCTAATAAACAAGCTTGGAAAATCCTAAACTCAATCAATATGATCACAGAAGGTAGATAAACTCGAATTAACTGAAAATGGACTAAGAAAATGAAGAATTTTGAGAATTTTCGGACATACCTTAGTACCCTGAGTACGAGAAACAAGGGTTTTGCCCACATTCCTCACATTGAAAACAGAAGGAGCCTTGATATCGTACCAATCCTTCTTCGCAAAGGGATCGGCACTGCATTACCCAGAAACAAAAAAAAAAAACAACACAAACCCAAAATCAGAATTTCAAATCGACAAAACTCCATTTCCTTTCGTTTCGCGAAGAAGAAGATTACAGATCTCGAAAAAAGGAAAAATGAAATTGCACTCACGCCTTCTTCTTGCCTCCCTTCTTTCCCTTGGAAATCCGCTTGTTCTTTCTGTAACAATCAAAACGACAGAAATCTTCAGTCTGAAGAAGAAGAAGAAGAATGAGAAGAAGAAATTGACTGCTAAAGGAAGCGAAAATGTGTGTTGAAAAGAAAAAATGTGTACCCGACGGCCATGGTGGAAGCAGATTAGGGTTGCTGCCAAGGCGAAGATGAGCAAATACGGCCCTGAGAGCAAACCCTTCTTCCGATACCAGAAAACCCTATTCTATTGTGTTGGGATTATATATAGGTCTTGGACGGAGATTGTTATATCCAGTGTTGGGCCAGTTTGGGCCTGAGTTTTGAGTGAGGTGGGCTGGTTTGGGCCCAAGTTTTGAGCGACGATTAAAAATTAATAAAACGTTTCATGTTTTTAATTTTTTATTTCTAATTTTATCCTTTAATTATTATTTTTTCATTTTATTTGGTATATTTAGGTGTACTGAGGATTTATCAAATTAGAATCACTTTAAAAAGAATATTACAAATGTTATTGTTAAATTTTAGACATACTTGATAAATTTAGGATTTACCAAATCTATATTATTAGAAGAAAAATGTATGAATTATAATAATAAATATCGGATCTACCTACTAAATTTAGGATTTATCAAGTTTGTATTAGTTCGAAAAAAGTAAAAAATATAATGATAAATCCCAAATATGACTAATAAATCCCGGATTTACGAAGTCCATATTAATAGGGGAAATGGTTAATTCCTTATATACTTAGTAAATCTCAGAAGTGAAAAATCTATTAGTAAATTCCTAATATACCTACTAAATCTCGAATTTACTAAGTTCGTATTATGAGGAAAAAAGAGAAAAATCCAATAGTAAATCCCAGATTTACCTGATAAATTTCAGATTTACCAAGCTCGTATTACTAGAAAAAAAGTGAAAATTCTAATGGTAAATTCCATGTACACCTAGTAAATCCCAGATTTTCCAAATTCATATTAGTAGGTGAAAGGTAAAAAATCTAATAGCAAATCCCAGATATACATGGTAAATCTCGAATTAATCAAATTCGTATTAGTAGGGGAAAAGAACACTATAAATTCTAATGGTAAATCTCGAATATACTTGGTATATATGAAATTTACCAAGTTCATATTACTAGGAAAAAATAAAAAATATAATGATAAATCCTGGATATACTTGGTAAATCCTGGACTTATCAAGTTCATATTAGTATGGGAAAAGAACAACTAGAAATTATAACGATAAATCCAGATATACCTGGTAAATTTCAGATTCACTAAGTTCATATTACTAAGGAAAAAGTGAAAAATATAACGGTAAATCCTTGATTTACCAAGTTCATATATGTAAGGGAAAAGAACACTACAAATTCTAATGGTAAATCCCTGATATGCCTAGTAAATCCAGGATTCTGAATTTACCAAGTTCATATTAGTAGGGAAAAAGTAAAAAATTTAATGTTAAATCATGGATATAAATGGTAAATTAAGGATTTACCAAGAAGGTATTTTTATAATTTTAGATGGTTGTAAATCCGGATTTACATTACATTGACCTATTTATTAACTTTTCTTAAACATAGGCCTATCAATTTTAATTCCTCTCAAATATTGGCCTATCTTCCTTAATCTCCCTTATCACTTTGTTGTAAAGGGAATTAAGCTTAATTTTTTACTTAAATGATACGTTTGAATTCCAACTTTGCAGAAGTGACATTCCCTTTATTCACCATCTAGTCCTTCCTTTATATGTGTTTTAAGGGTCCATTTGGCATTATTTTTAGAGGTTGTTTTTAACTTCTTTAAAGAAGCTACATCAGGTTAGCGTATTTGGTAAATCATGTTTTTGTCCAGTAACTTTTAAAAACTGTTGTCAAACAACATAATTTGAGAAGCGGGTAATAAGTTATTATTACACTACAGCTTCTACTGTCATTATCCAAATTTACTAAAATAATTTTAATAATAAGACTTAATTCTTACCTATTTTAATTTTTTCATAGCAAATTAAAAAATATATATTTTATAATAGTTATTTAAAAATTCAAAATCTTTAATAAGTATGTTATGCTAAATTTTGTTCAAATATTTTTAATAATTATCAAAATATTTAAAAATAATAATAATAAATTTAGTATATGAATAATGTGCTGGGAATAGTATCCTTAAAGTATGAGATGTAATAGGATATTTATTATCTATTTAATAAAAGAAATTATTCATTGTTTTATGTGCATATATTGTTGAATATTTTATGAATATTATTAAAAATTCCGTGATTATTTATGTAAACTTGAATATTGTATATAAAAGTTATATATATAGGACAATATTTAAGGATAATAATCAAATGATTTCATGATGAATCTAATTAAAGTTTTAGAATCTTTAATTAAAACATTACTAATACATGTCATTCTCATTAAGAATGAAACAGACTTATCCACACTGTTAATATAGAGAGATATATAATGAGTGTATTACACATAATGAGACTATGTGGGACCGGGACACAGACACGATTTGAATTTATGCTAATTTTCATTAAGAATGTAAATTCGAATCGAGTCTATCAATGGTCATATATGGAACGATCTTAATCCTGAGTTATTATCAGACTCCTATTTATGGATTTATCTTTTGACTTACTTGGTATGAATTTTGAGATTCTAAATCCTATTCCTTGTATCTTGGAGATATAATTAAGTAGGTAGTCGGGAATGCTAATATACGAGATGGAATCCATTCATTCTTGAATAAAGAAGTAGATAAATAATTCCATTCATTCTTGATTTGGTACTTGAATAAGTAATGAACTTGTATTCATGAATTTATTTTATGAACATACTACTCATTAGAGAATCAATGGTATTCAAAGATAAAGATATAATTAGAGAGGTTAATGGATTTCACATGGCTCTAATTATGAATTATTTATGAAAGATTGATCTATATATAATGATTATATCAAATGGACACTTTAAGTTTTGGCAGTAAATTATATCTATAATTACAAGAGTGCAATTCCAAGTTTATATCCAAGTTTATAGTGGATTAACTTTGAAATTAATAGAATAAATAAATTAATTAAAGAGTTTAATTAATTATTAATTTTATTGGAGCTCAAAATTATAAGTCCATGAGTTCCAACATCATCCTCGTAATTCTACTAAACACTAAAGATAAAATGGAAATTTTAGAATTATCGAATTCTAAATAAAAACACTAAAAAATAATTAATTGAGAATTAATTGGATATTAAATAATGTGATTATTTAATTTGAATTTTAAAACACACATGTGGAGGGGTCCACATAATGTCACGCACCCAACATAGATAGAATTCCTATGAGATTCAGTTACTTTATCTCTAAGTTATTCAGTTGACTTATTTAATAAGTTATTTAATTAGAATTCAATTACGTTTAAAGTTTGACTTTATTTGGAATTTATATTTGAGTCAAATTTGGACAACATGATAAAAGAGAATTTTTTCATCTTCTCTTATCAGTAGGAGATGCCAACCACAAGGAATAAAGTCCCTATGGTGGCCGGCCAATTAAGGAAGAGAGAGGGGGATTTTTGTTCTAAAAATAAATTAAAAGTGGGAGATAATTCTATAGCTTTATGTTGAAAAAAAAGATCATACTTCTTTTTGGTCTCTGATAGCTACTCTATAAATATGAGGTTGCAGAAAATTGGATAACACAATTTTGGTATCTAATATCTATAGTGGCCCTTTTTATAGAGTGAAGAAAAGAGAAGAAAAGTTCTTCATCCTAATTCCATATCGTGCATGTGTTGGTGTTCATGGAAGATTTGAGCCTTTTTTAGCGCTAATTCTATTTTGTTTCAGGTGTGCCCACACAACGTCTTCAGAGATTCAAGAAATTGACGAGAAAAATTTGCGTATTCCAATAATGCTCGGAGCATGGATTGTTCGTGGTAAAAAAACTCAAGTTATCGTCATAATCATTCACTAGGTAATTTAATAAATTAATTAGATTAATTTATTCGCGTGTAAATTAATATATTCTATATAGTATTACAAGAGTTTTATGAAAATTTTTGTTATACACGATCCGTTAGATACACGCTTTCGCATCTAAAATCGTATCAAAAACCAACATATTAACCATAAAAATAGAAATAAAACTAACTATAAACATAAAACATGTGTGATAAATACGTCTCCTTTCGTCATTATGCATTTCAACTCTCCTTTCGTCATTGTGCATTTCAACAACAATTCTATACACAGTTTACTAAGGGTCTGTTTGACATTACTTTTAGAGGTTGTTTTTAACTTTTTTAAGAAGTTACAATAAGTCAGTGTGTTTGTCAAAACCTACTTTATCCAGCAATTTCTAAAAACAACAGAATTTGAGAAGCATATTAGGAGTTGCTTTTCCACATCAGCTTATACTACCATTGTCCAAATTTACTAAAATGCCCTAATAATAAATCTTAATTCCCAATCAACTCATTTTATTTCTTTCAAATAAAATTAAAGAATATATTTTATTTTAAATGTTTATTTGAAAATTAAAATTTTTAATAAATATCTCATGCTAAATTTTAATAAAATACTTTTATTATAATGTTGCATGTTTGAAAAATAATTTACCTCCAGTTCTTTACCTTATTTAATTTTAATTAATAAAATGAAAATTATATTTTTTTTAGTGTTTTGGTGTATGAATAACTATAAAATAGAAATAAAACTAATCATATGTGTATTAAAGCGTATCTATTTTAGTTATTATACATCTTCACAGTAATTTTATACATAGTTTACCAAACACCTAAATTTTTACTTTTAGTATTTACAACAACTTAAAAAAAATTTACCAAACACCTATATGTTTCTGGTCATAGCAACTTCTGACTAACAGTCTAGCAATAGCAAAAATTTTTAACAACACAACAATGCCAAACTGACCCTAAACACTTAAATTTCTACTTTTGGTATTCACAATAGCTTTGTAAAAATATTTACCAAACACCAACTGGTCACATCAATGAGCAACTTATTATTAAGAACACAACAACAATAAAAAATTTTAACAGCACAATGGTGCTAAACTGACTCTAATTGTGGGCTTTTTGGCAGAATTTTTACTTTTGCTTTTACTTTTAGCCAGTAGAAAAAGAGAAGCAAAAGATGTGACTTTCATAAGTATTTAGAATCGAGAGCTTAATGAGTTAAAATGATTTTTAAATTTTTTAAGAAACAATAAAAGTGTTGGAATGAAGCTTACAATGCCTTAATAAACCTCTAGTATAAGTTTCAAAATTTATTCATAAGTGACTTTTTTAGAAGCCTTATTTTGTGACTTTGACCAAAAATTCTTTTGTAAAAGCGAAACACTTCCGACAAATCATCCATACACTTTCAGAGACAACGTTTAGACTTTAAAAGAGAAAAACAACTTTTAAAAAACTCTCCCAAACTAGCTCTACATTTTATTTGCAAGAATTTACTTTTTGAGGGTTGGTTTTGAATATATTGTTACTTACGGGGTTTATGAATATATGCTCCCTTGTAATTCACTTCCTTTCTCTAGTGGTATAAACAAAAGGTAAAGTTGTCTTTTTCTATCACATGCAAATATATTTTTCAAGCCACCAATGGAAAAAATGCTATTTAACCGAACTTTGTAAGTTGTAGTCGGTTTAATTCACACATTTTGCCCTTGTTATTATTAGATTTTTTTGCATTTTAGCTGGACCCTTAGCGATTAGCCCACTTTGTCCCTTACACTCAAAATGAAACAATTTGCATACCCAAAAAATCTCTTTAACTCTTGACATTGTGAATCATAATATATATATATATATATATATACCGATATAAAGAAAACTTTTTACCTTGTTTCATGGAGGATCGAGTATGAAGTACATTTTAGCTGCATGCCTGATGTCGTTTTCTACCATGCCTTCATTGTAGTAACCCTCCTCTTTGGTATATATATTGAAATATTGCTGATTGGTAATTCAGAATTATCTGCCAAATCAAACCTATTTTCTACCTCTTATAAATTAATCACGAGAATTGAGTGCATCAGGCCTTTTGACTTAGTATACATAAAAATACTTTAGGGATGTTACACATATTTTTAAAGAGAAAGAAGAATCATTTTGGGGGTTGATCAGTGATATATATGATATATAGTATGAGTCACATTAGTATTGTCTTTCAACCGACTATGTTGTTTTTTCCAAGCAAAAGATACTAATTAACTATATTATATGTGTGTGTTTTCCTTGAGAAGAACTAATTACAAATTCAAGTAAATACAATTGTATAATGATATTGACATTTGACATTTTGTATAATGATACTGACATTTGACATTTTGTATAATGATATTGACATTTGACATTCTGCACCATTTAATGAAGTTTTTATCAAGGGGCAGGTATTATTATTATTATTATTATAAATTTCTCTAATCATTATCAACGATTATCCCTACTCCAAAGTTAAATTTGGAAAAACAAGTCACAATAAGAAACCCAAAAAAAAGAAAAAAAAAACTCATTTAACAATTGTTATTTATCATGGATTTTCATAATGATGATGCACCAGTGGCAGCGGAAGAGGAGGTGGCAATGGCGGTGGTGTTAGAGGAGGAGGAGGCGGCGGCGGTGGAGGGGGAGGAGGAGGCGGTGGTGGAGGGGGAGGTGGAGGCGGTGGAGGAGGAGGCGGTGGCGGTGGCGGTGGACTTCTGGCTGCGCAGCCAGATCCAAAGGCGCTGCAGTCGACCGGATACTTATAAAAGGCGGTGCACTCCACCGGCGACCGCTGCCACGGCCGATAAGGGATACAGTTCTTCCGGTCATCTTTGTCCTTCAACTTCAAACACGTCAAAGGTTCGCCGCAGAAGTAGTTGTCAGAATAAGTGAAGTTCTCCAACCTCGGCAACGCGCAAATACTCGGAGGAATAACGCCAGAAAGCTTGTTGTGCGCCACGTTAAGCAGTTCCAAGCTTCTCAATTTCCCCATGGACTCTGGCAAAGATCCGACAAGCTCATTGGAACTCACGTCGAACACGGTAAGCTTGTCCAGAAACCCTAGCTCCGAGGGCAAACAGCCTTTTAGTCCGCTGTTTGTGATGATGATCTCGTTGAGGGTGTCCTTCATTTTTCCCAAACTGGAAGGCAAGCAACTGTTGAGGTTGTTGTTGGCCAAGACGATGACCGACGCCGTCGAGTTGCCGATGTTCTCCGGTAGGGAGGAGCGGAACCCGTTGTTGTTGACAAAAACCGCGTCGAGTTTTACGTCGAAAAGGCGGGACGGGATGTCGCCTTTGAACTTGTTGAACCTGATGTCGAGGTATTTGAGGGAAGGGAGGAAGAGGACAACGGTTGGGAATTTGCCGGAGAATTGGTTGTTGCTAATGTCAAGCTCGTATAGAAGTTTGAGACATGAGAAGGATTTTGGAATTGTTCCTTTGAAGCGGTTGGAGTTTATGTGGAAGAGAGACAAGTCAGTCAAGAGGCCTAATTCTTCCGGCAATGAGCCTGCGATCAGTGACAAAGTCAGAAAATTTTCTCACTATATATGGATTAATAATTAAAAAAATTATAATTATATTAAAATTAAAAGATTAAATTCTTAACATTTAGTAGAGTTATGTGTATTTTGATACAAGAGATTATATATATGTGTGTGTGTGTGTGTTTTTTTTTTTCTTTTTTTGGAGAAAAAGTAAGCACTAAAGCCCACTGGCTCCGTCCATATACCTGCAATCTTGGCGTGGTTTATGTCAATCCCAGCCACCGTGGTGGTGTTGTGGGGATCGTCTGGGGCGGGCGCACAGTACACTCCGGTGTAGTTGCAGACGTGGGGGCCCCACCAGTTTGAGGTGAAGTTTTTTGGGTCGGAGGTGATAGCATGTTTCCATGCTTGGAGAGCTTTGAATGCCTTTAGGAGCCTTGGGTTTGGTATTAGTGGGTCATGGATATCAGGAACTAATTGGCCTTGAGAGGGTTTGGAGAGGAAAGTGATAGAGAAGAATATGGCAAAGAGTAGGGCTAAAGTGAGACATGGGGTTTTGATCATTTTGGAGAAAAATGAAGTTTGCTAATGTTTGAGAAATGAGATGGGATTTGAGATTTATATATTTGAATTGCGTTTTGAGAGAAATGTAATAGAAGACGGTTGGATAATGCAATTTTTTTTTTTTTTTTTAGAGGAGTGATTTAAAGGGACTAGTTCATTATGACTAAATCTCACTTTCATAATTAGAAATAGCGAATATTGTGGTTATTAAAGGGGTACAGAGGTGTTATTTTTTAAAAATTATAATTTTGACTTTCATTAAGCAAGCAGGTAGCAAAAGTGAAGAATGGCCTTTCTCCTTTCCTTTTTAATTATATATATATATGTATATATATATATTTATATATATATATATATATTATGTTTTAGATGCTTCTATGGTTTTGCATTTTCTCAAGGTAATGTATACTATGAGCAATGTGATGCTTGTTGTTTCTTGTGAAGGGTTGGAAAAAAATTTGGTGGCTGCCCTTCACCAAAAACACGGTTTTACTACGTTGGATATAAATTAATATATTAATTCAAATATATACAAATTATGATGGCTCTAAGAGAATACAAGTGGGACTATTTAAATTTTAAATTTTAAACAAATTATGACATTGGCTGTGTGAATATATAATGCAAGCTAGCTAGCTGCAGACTCGGAGTACTTTTATTTGACTGACCTTATTTAATCTAGTGAAATTTATGCTATTGAAATACCATTTATTTCTTTATTAATTATTTACTATATTTTTATATCCAATCAAATATGCTTTTATTTAAGATTTTAGAGATTCGTCTCTGAAGCACGATATGAATTGGAAAAGTAAATGGGTGTTAGAGAAAATATTGTTAGGAATCATACTAAATTGTAATTTATGTCCGTTTGGTCAATAGTTATAAGCTGAAATGAATTATGCTTCTATTGGGACCATATAAGATTTTATTTTCTTTTCAGGAAAGGGCAAGGATGAGACAGAATTAGGATACTGTCAGCAATGTATTTTTTTTTTTAATCAACAACTTATTCTTGATGTGAAATTATAACCTCTGTCACTATCTTGGTTAACAACTTTTTGCCGCTACGTATGAAGATAATTTCACCAAGGCGGCACGTTGACCCCATCAATATATCGGCAATCTTTCTTTTTAGTACTTTAATTATAATTACAATTATCTTTGGTTATATAGCAATTATATTATGTGTTTATTCTAATTATAATACTACTTGAGATCATAATTATAAGCTGCATATTGGTTTCAAGAGGTAGAGAATATATTATTTGGTTGTATGTAGTCCATTTTCGAAACATGTATGATTGGATCACTTCTTTTCTTATGGTTTTTGTTTCGCGGTGGTTAAATTTGATTAATTTAAAACCAACTTGAAAATTGGGAAATTGTTAAGGACGGAAGCTAAGCTGATTAGTCAAATGCCACGAGGTTTGGTTGGAGAAATGCATCTTTCAAACAAAGAGAGAATGTAGAGAGATTATGACGAGACAATAATACATACTTGCACAAACAGAAAATTTGAAAAGGAAAAGATGCCATGGTGACATTTTGAAGCAATGGCTAAACTTGAACAAACGTTAAACGTTTGGTTGGAGGATTCAAACCATGTGATTCGAATCATTTTTTATTTACGTGTATTTTTTGTGAGAGAAAATACTGTAGTGAACCACGAATCATGATTCGAATCAGAGAACGAATCCCTCTACCAAACATCCTAACATGAAGCTTTCGGCATTGAATCTGGTCAAAACAACATCTAAAATGATAAAAATGTAAAACTGATAGAGTATCGTCATGGTGTGCGTGTTTTTGAGCACCAAATATGATCGAAACAATATTAAAATGCAAAAAGCATACAAAACTTATAGATGCTGAAGAATTTTCATCTCTCATATAATAAATAGCAGGTGCATACTTTTAAAATTTAATTAGAAAACTAGAGGGGTTGAAGGAGTTCTAGAATGCTAGGCTCCTGAAGGTCAATATACCAAACACGTTAGACCAATTCATTAAAAACTAGACGAAGTCAACTATCTTCAACGGAAACAAAACAAAAAAAAAAAATCTGCAAAACAACCCGCGGGGCCATTTTGCGTTATATATAACTCAATCATGTGTTGTGGAAAAACAATTGATTCAGTTCTGAAAAATGAGGTACTAGGAATACTTTTTGGGAAAGCCCTAAACTTGATATTCTTGATATTTGGTCGGGAAAATGACTGGAGAACTAGTAAGGTTTAGTACGTACTTGAAATATTCTGATGCTTAATTTGGGATTTCGATTTTGTTGAGGGACAGAGTTAACTTTGTTAGTTGTCTTGTCATGTCATAGTGGTTGGATGGACAGAATAGTCAAACATCAATTTCCTCTTCAAAAAAAAAATGTAAAGATATATATATATATATATATATATATAAATATATATATATAGGTAAAAGGGCTATATATATCTCTATAATTTGTCTTGAGCATTAAGAATATTGTAATGATTGCTTTGCTGGTTCTTTTATGCTTGAGTTTCGTAATGAAATTGGTGGATTTGGATGTTGTTACATGTTAAGCTTGTGAGGTCTCCGAGGAAAGCAAAGAGATAAGGTTGATCTTACAAACTTAAGTAAAGAGATAGGCTTAAGAATATGTAATATATATCAAGAAATTCTCGACAGTTGGTGTAGAAAAAAAAAAAATAATATATATAAAATATCCGAATCAAAACAAAACAATATAATACAAAGGTTTATAGTGGTTAGGCATAAGAATGCCTACCAAACTTTTATTGATAATTTTGGAATACACGCCCAAACCCTCCAAACAATTTCTCTCACAAAATAAATTGATGAAGTCTTCGAGATATGAAATCGCTTAACGTAGTTAGATCCATGTTCTCCATCTTCAAATGCATAATTCACCATCTCCTCTTTCGTCTAGAGATCATGAGCATCATGCCTTAGTGATCGAGAGTCGAGCATGATCGCGATCATGTGGACAATTACACCGAGAATTTTAGACGTCATGGAATCGTGATGGGGGCGATTCGTTCTGCGATAAAAGTTTAAGAAAATTATCGTCTAATTGTCCTCGAGTTGAATCCCTCTTTAATGAATTCGTCATCGTCGTAAACCTTACAACTCATAACGCTGCTGAGGCTAGCTCGCCAGAGAGCTATTTGTGAACACGAGGGATACCTTGCTAGCAAGCTATCCGTGGTCATTGGTTGTGTGCGTGATCCGCTCATGTTGTGTTACCTCACTCTTTTTTCATGATTGAGCACGTAGCAGAAATGAAGATAAGAGTATTGTTAGTCATTTGAAATCTCCTCACAAATAACTTGAAGAAAAAGATAAGACTTAGCTATTAGTTTTTGTACGATGATGTGGAAAACTGACTTTAGTTTGGGAAAATTGAGGTATAAACCATAGCGCATACTTGGTCATAAGAGAACTTTAATATTACGTAACCTCTTGAACTTGTTGGGTATTGTTTAAGTCAATAATAGTAGAAAATATGAGATGAATAAGCGAAATTTAGAAGGGTGCTATAACAACACGAATTAAAATTGAAATATTTATTTTTATATTTTTATACATATTATTACTATTAATTATTATTATTATTATTATTATATTATTATTATTATATTATTATTATTATTATTATTATTATATTATTATTATTATTATTATTAAATCATGGCTTCAATAATGCCTCAAAAGTAGAAACAGTCATAACCTCTCA